TGTAAATAGGCAACCCTACGTCAAATCGGCAAAATATGCTGCAAGTATATTCATGTCACCTGGACCTAGAGGTCGCGCACAGAGGTGGCCGCGGTTCCTCATTTTTGCGTTTGAATTAGATACAAGTACATACCCATATAGAATTATACCTTTAAATTGAACTATATTTCTATAATTCTCAATCTGTATGCATTTGTTACTACTATTATTATTATTATTTTTTTTTTGCTTTTCATTAATGTTATACAACCTTTCGTATTACTACTTTACATTTTTATTATCATATTTTTTATAACATATTCAACAATTTTTATTGAGCTCGAGGCCGTTTTTAATGAAAATTCATTGTGGAAAAGCAAACGACAATTTACAAGGCGTACTTAGCACGGTTCATAGGCAACTGGCTGAGTCAGTGGGATCGGCGGCTCGAAGCCTACTGAAAGAAGTCTGATGAGGAAATGTGGTGATTTCCGAAATAGCTATCACTTCTACCATTTTTTTAAATTATTGTTGCTTTTCCACAATAAATTTTCATTAAAAACGGCCTCGAGCTCAATAAAAATTGTTGAATATAATCGTTATAAGGCCAAAAAAATAACAAAAACAAATAACTTAAGGACGAGCACACCTAAAAGTTAAACATTCTAAAAATAGAATTATTAGCAAAAACCAACAATACCAATAACCACATGATCAAGTGAATTGCAGCGGAATAGCTGCGTTTGATTGTGTTGGCATAACAAAAATGAAAATAGTGGAAAAAAGCAAGCGATAATTTACAAGGCGTACTTAGCACGGTGCATAGGCAACTGGCTGAGTCAGTGGAATCGTCGGTTCGAAGCCTACTGAAAGAAGTCTGATGAGGAAATGTGGTGATTTCCAAAATAGCTATCACTTCTTCCATTTTTTAAAATTATTGTTGCTTTTCCACGATAAATTTTCATTAAACGCGGCCTCGAGCTCAATAAAAATTGTTGAATATAATTGTTATAAGGCCAAAAAACTAACAAAACAAATAACTTAAGGACGATCACACCTAAAAGTTAAACATTCTAAAAATATAATTTTCAGCAAAAACCAACAATACCAATAATCACATGATCAAGTGAATTGCAGCGGAATAGCTGCGCTTGATTGTGTTGGCATAACAAAAATGAAAATAGTGGAAAAAAGCAAACGATAATTTACAAGGCGTACTTAGCACGGTGCATAGGCAACTGGCTGAGTCAGTGGGATCGTCGGTTCGAAGCCTACTGAAAGAAGTCTGATGAGGAAATGTGGTGATTTCCGAAATAGCTATCACTTCTACCATTTTTTCAAATTATTGTTGCTTTTCCACAATAAATTTTCATTAAAAACGGCCTCGAGCTCAATAAAAATTGTTGAATATAATTCTTATAAGGCCAAAAAAATAACAAAAACAAATTTTTTATAATACTTATTTTTTTTTACATTACCATTGGATTTTATTTATTTATTTTTTGCTTATATTGAATTGAACGGGACTCTATCGAGTTTCCTTTGTTAAAAGTTTTTTGAATCTCTGTGGAATTGCACAGTGGTTGTACGCTTTATTTTCGAATTGTTTTTTTTTTAATCTCTGGGGAAAACAATTGATCCGTATAAGTATCGTTGCGTTTAAATTTTTGAGCTACTTATTTGGTCAAGGTTGCTCAATCATAAAGACCGACCGACGGTTTCGAAGCCTTCTACGGAAACGTGCACAATCTAACATTCCGTCTTCGAAAGAAGATACCGGAGAAAGAGTCGGTTGGCATAATTAGGGGTAATCTTAAGCCATACTTAGCAAATTTGACCTTTTCCTCCAAGATAGAAGCGCTAGCAGAGCTTAAAAATTAGTGCAAGCGTCCAGAAAAAGTGATGCGTGAAAATAAGAGTAGGCCAAAACATGTTAACGAAATAGAATTTTCGGAAACTGAATCGGTAGATAAGGTAGAGGAGATAGGAAGAATGCAACGGGGCAAGCCACAACCTTCTATGTCTGTCCCACAAAATGTGTCTGCGTCACGTCGTCCTAATGTGACCCCGTCTACTATTAATTCCTTTTGTCCATCCCCGTTTCACCTTATGTTGTGTTTCAAGTGTGGCGTGCCCATCGATTACTTTATCAAGAACCCTGTAGAAGCTCAAAAAGATAATAAATGTCAGTCGTAGTTTCATAGTATGATTTGTTTTTCGTGTGGAGGTGACGCGTCTTATTGTGTGTTCAAACCAGGGCAGGGAAACTTGTAACTGGCCGAGATATCTGGGGACTCACGCCAGAAGAAGGAGACTCAGAGACCAGTGAAAAGATAGCAAAGAAGCATGAGAATAAGAAGGACGACATGCATATTATTAGGAAAGGTTTACATCAAAGAAAAATCGAGTATGAGGAAGCGCGCAAACGAATATTTTGTGAGGAGGTCATAGCAAAGAAGAGGAGGAAAAACTTCATTAAATTAAAAAAATTAGAACAAAGAAGAATTTTAAAAGGATTGAAAATAAAATCATAGCAACTATAGTTACTGTTAAGGGGGATAATAGATTCTTTGCGAAGGCGAAAATAGGAGGACAGGAAGTCCTAGCACTGTTAGATTCTGGAGCAGGAGCGAGTTGCTTGGGAAAAAATTCGAGTACGCTACTACAAGGCAAAGAAGATCTGATAATGCTAATCAAAGGTCAAAATATAAGAACGGAAAACGGTGGGGAAACCGCGGTAACCGGTGTTGTAACGCTCCCAGTCGAATGGGATAATATGACTAAAGAGATGGAATTTTTGATTGTGCCCGGCTTACAAGAGGAAGTATATTTAGGCGTAGATTTTTGGCCGGTGTTCTGTATGAATGTGGTTAGCAGAGGAATAAATATCGGTTCTGGCAGCACTG